TAACAATTATTTACTCTAAACACCAACATTATATTACATTGCTTGTCCCGTCTTAATCCCACATATATTCTCCATTCTTAACTCATATTCATTAAAACACTTGTCACATTATAAATGGTACTATCCCACTAATCTAACAATATGCATACATCCTGCACATCTCTTCTCCATCTTTTTCTTTTTTCTTCTAACTTTTAATTTTACATCCTTTTTAAATGAAACACATTCGTCATACTACCACTTTAACTCTCAACTTTACTACTTACATTATATATTGTCTTGTTTTTAATATAAACCTGTTTTTTTTTCATTCACATAACATTTCATATATAATTTTAGTCTAACATCTATCCCGCATCGTTTTTTTTATATTTTTCTTAATTTCCAAAAAAAAATCATTTTAATTACATCCATACAATACTAAAACATATTATAGAGATTTCACAGTCAGGTTTTCCATTCCCAGAAACTGCTCCGCATTGTTTCATAAATGATTCATAAAACAGAGCTCTGTGGAAACTTTCCTATGGAAAAAAAATCTAAAAGAGACTTTCCACGCACCGTTGGTCGGCAGTCTTCATTGATTTTTCACTACACAATTGTGTGCGAAATATGAGCAACTAAAACCGTAAGAACTACTCTGAAAAGAAAACGTGATGATGCTGCGCCAGGTCCTCGGAGATCGGCTTTTCTCGCCCAGAGAGGCAAAAATTATTGGTGCGTGAGATGCTCTCGCTGCCAAGCTGGTAGCAGACGACATGTTTCCGCGGCTCAAGTTGGGCGGTAAGAACGCGCAGGCTCGTTTTGACAAGCTTGTCAAGACGAGACAGAATGAAAACGAGGAGAGCATGGCAGCCTCGGTGTTTGCGAGAAGAAGAGCGAGAGGGATTTGATGCTCGACGAATTGATCGAGCTCGTCGACGACCACACTGAGTCTTGCCGCAATCGGATTTGGCGGAGTATGAGTATAGAGCTGTGAAATTTCCGTCTATATTCATCACCTCCACTTCCACAGCCATATGCTGTTGTGGGAACAGAAGAAGGAAAACGGCATTGCGAAACCTCTCTTTTACATAACTTATCTACACTCAAACTACAT